CTTGTTTGGCATCCACACCCAATCCCTGGATTATTGACTCTGGAGCCTCCGATCACATGACTGGAACTCCAGGTGTGTTTTCTTCCCTCTCTCATTGCTCAACATCACAATCTGTTACTTTTGCTAATAGTTCCACATCATCTATTTGTGGTGTCGGTAATGTTGACCTGGACCCTGTACCCCTGTCCTCAGTTTTGTATGTTTCTAAACTTCCGTTTAATCTTATGTATGTTAGTAAGCTGACCAAGTCACTTAATTGCTCCATTACATTTTACCCTTCTATCTGTGTTTTTCAGGATCTCAAGACGGGGATGAAGATTGGTGGAGGGCATGAAGCCAATGGACTGTATTATCTTGACGGTGGTGGAAGAACATCAATAGCTCTTTAGTCATCCATCTCTCCTCTCCAGTGGCATTGTCGATTTGGTCATCCTTCGCTAAAAGTTTTGAAATCTTTGGTTCCTTCATTGAGTCAACTTTCTGTTTTAGATTGTGAGTCGTGTCAGTTTGGGAAACACCATCATGTTCCCTTTAGTTCTAGGGTTGATAACCGTGTGTCGAGTCCTTTTTCTTTGATTCATTCAGATGTTTGAGGTCCTTATAAAGTGATGTCATACAATGGATATAGATATTTTGTTATTTTTGTTGATGACTTTTCAAGGATGACGTGCCTCTATTTAATGAAAGAAAGAAATGAATTGTTTACCATCTTCCAGAAATTTTATGTTGAGATTCGCAATCAATTTGGTGTTCACATTAAAATCTTTCGTTCTGATAATGGCTGTGAATATTTGTCTTCATCATTTCAGGAATACTTGGACCAACATGGCATTATACATCAGACCTCATGTACCTACACCCCACAACAAAATGGGGTGGTTGAGAGAAAGAATCGGCATCTCTTAGAAACAGCACGCTCCCTCATGCATCACATGAATGTTCCCAAACCCTTTTGGAGTGATGCGATGCTTACCTCTTGCTTCTTAATTAATCGGATGCCCATGTCTATCCTTGATGGTCTTTCCCCATTTAATGTCTTGTTTCCCACCGTGTTTACGTTTCCGCTTTCTCCTCGGGTATTTGGGTGTGTCTGCTTCGTCCATAATCTGGGCCTCGGGAATGACAAGTTAGATGCACGATCCCTTAATCTCACCGCTCCTTGGTGTGTGCTGATGTCACCTTCTTTGAGTCTACTCCGTTCTTCTTGGGGTCCGGTGATGCTTCTTCCTCCTTATCGCCTCCTTTGCTTCCACTTCCAGTTGCCGATCCTCTTCCCCTTGTTCCATCCGTGCCTATGTCCTTGCCTCCAGTGCCACCACCCGTTGAACGTCCACCTATTCGTCAAGTGTATACACATCGCCCACGTGTACCGGCTGCTCTTCCTCCGGCTTCATCACCATCGACAGATCCAGCTCCGGATCCGCCACTGGTTTCTGATCTTGATCTTCCCATTGCCTTGCGGAAAGGTAAACGCACTTGCACCCTTCATCCTATTTCTAATCATGTTTCACTTACTCACCTTTCTGCCTTCCATCGCCAGTTTATCTCTTTGTTATCCGCAGTGGTTGTCCCTAAGGATGTCCAGGAAGCCCTTGCCTCTCCACGGTGGTGCCGTGCTATGGAAGAAGAGTGCTCCGCTTTACATCATAATCATACTTGGGACTTCACCGCTCTTCCTCCTGGGAAGCAGGCTGTCGGTTGTAAGTGGGTTTATACCGTTAAGTATTTGCCTTATGGTAGTGTTGAGCGCCTGAAAGCACGATTGGTTGCCAAAAGGTACTCCCAAACCTATGGTATTGACTACACAGAGACCTCCCCGGTTGCTAAGATAGGGTCGGTTCGCGTTGTCATCTCTCTTGCAGCTATGTATGACTGGCCCCTATATCAACTTGATATCAAAAATGCCTTTTTGCATGGTGATTTGCTCGAGGAGGTCTACATGGAGCAACCACCAGGGTTTGTTGCTCAGGGGGAGGATGGTAAGGTATGCAGACTCAAGAAGGCTATATATGGGCTTAAACARTCTCCTCGAGCATGGTTTGGTAGGTTCAGTGAGGTGGTCAAGAAGTTTGGTATGAAACAGTGCCAAGTTGATCATTCCGTCTTCAGTCATGACTCTCCAGCAAGAAAAATACTACTGGTGGTGTATGTAGATGATATCGTTATTACCGGGAATGATAAATTGGGCATTGACAGGTTGAAGACCTTTCTACAGGAACACTTTCAGACAAAGGACCTTGGTAAATTGAAATATTTCTTGGGCATAGAGGTAGCAAGATCTAAGCATGGTATTAATTTGTGTCAGAGGAAATATGTGCTTGATTTGCTGGAAGAAACAGGTTTGTTAGGTGCTAAACCAACTGAGACACCTATGGAAACAAATACTAGGTTGAGCAGTGATATGGGTGAAGTGTTTGAAGACCCCGGCAGATATAGGCGACTTGTAGGTAAACTGAACTACCTAACCATTACTGGGCCAAACATTTCATTTGCAGTTAGTGTGGTGAGTCAGTTCATGCAGAAACCTTTGGTTCCTCATTGGAATGCGGTTCTAAGAATTGTGCGGTATTTGAAATGAGCTCCTGGTCGTGGTTTGATATACAAAAGTGGTGGAAAACTAGAAATAGAAGGGTACACTGATGCTGAC